GTGCGGGCAAGTGCTGCCTGTTGGCCAATCTGCAGCAAAGTGCGCACGTTGAGGCATGCCAATCTTAGCGAGACACGAGGACTCCAAAGGGAAACGGATGAACTGACGTTGTCCGCTTGGTTGAACATGGACTTATCGACTGGATTGGAGCGAGGCCCTGCGATTGTGTGTGATTTGAAATTAGAAGACAAGCGACTATTGAAGTAAGCTGGGGGAGGGCCAAGAATTGGGGGATTGAAAATGGGGGGATATAAGTAAAGTTGGAGCGGGACAATAAGGATGCAGAAGCGCAAGAAGGGGTATAAGAAGACGGGAAGGCCTGAGCAGTAGCATCCAAACCCCTATCCACCCTGCTCGATGCAGCAGATAGGGCGCCGTTTATTATCCTCTGCGACGGCCAGAGCATCAAGAAATTGTTGTAGGAAAGATTCATTGTATTGCGTGGGCAGAATACTGTCAGGTTGCCCAGGCCTAGACAGGAGAACGATTAGGGTTCTCAACCAAAGCCTTTGGTTCAAAAACCTTACCGCAAGGCAGCGGGTTTTGGCACTGGACTACAGAGCCCGTTTTATGAAATGAGGAGCCACCCCCATTCCAACCCCCAACCTGGAGGACCAGGAGGCTGAGTTTGTCTGGCCTCTAACCATTGACCAATCTGGTATGAGTGGCTCTAAAGGTGCAAAAAAAAGCACCACCCAGCATAGCTCAATGGATCTCTGAGGCACGCAAACCATCGCACCACGGTAAGGTCCAGCCTCATTGCGATGGAATTAACTCATGGAATTAACTCATCCATGGCGCGTTGAAAGCAAGTCACGCCATTCTTGAGGCCAAACGGAATTCGTCGGAACTGATAGAGGTTGTCGCATGCCTCGAATGCGGTATAGGGTCTGTCACTTTCGTTGATGGATATTTGTTGGTAGGCGGACTGCAAATCAAGCATGCTGTAAAATTGACATTGAGCAACTTTCTGCACCATTTCATTAATTCTTGGCATCGGGTAGGCGTCTCGATGCGTGAAACTATTCACGGTTTGGCTGTAGTCGATTACGAGTCGCTTTTTATGGCGATCATTATATGTTCGTAGAAAGTAGAAGTCACGATTAAAATTCACACACAATAATGTGCCTCGACGGGGAATCGAACCCCGGCCCAACGAATTTCCGGTCCGCTGCTTTACCACTGAGCTACCGAGGGCTGACGATAAGGTGCGCAATTTTCAACACATGCCTTCAGCTTGGTGCGCGACGTATTGCCAATGAGCTCACAGTATCTGTCCTGGTGTTGCAGATTGGTTCACTCGTCCGTCCCTTCCCAATGGGCCGAAGTATCTGTCCTTCAGATGTCGAAAGGGCGATGGTAGATTAATTGTGGATGTTTGTGAGTGATGTAAAGTTCGTGACTTCTACTTTCTACGAACTTTACACCACTCACAAACATCCACAATTGATTATTATATGTGACAAAACTTGAGCACGCCACGGCAAGTTGGACGGTTTTGAGGATATTTTCTTCGGCTAATCTCTGAATTTTAGAGCGGATGAAGCATTCGTCTTCTGGGCAATATCGTCTCGATTTCGTTGCAAACGGGGCGCAGTTAGGAGAGAGGTTTGTAAACAGTGAAGGTGCGTCGATACGAGCAGCTGCGAGTGAGCAAAGTGAAAATGATGGCTGGTTACCATGAAAAGGGATTTCGAGGATTCTTGGAAACTTCAGGAAATCATGCACCAGTAGGACATCTGCACACAAATCTGGAAGTACTGCAAGACGTACGCGCGGGTATAAGGTGTTCTTGTACGGCGTTGCGTCAAATCCAATGTGCCAGGCTATAGGGTCACTGGCCACTCACGTCTGTGACCAGAGGTGAGTATGTAACGGAGAGCGGCTGAACAACCTTGCTAGTCACCGGCTTCTCTGTGGACTGTTACTGAACACAAAGAAGGCGAAGGAGCCACCCGGATGTCAACAGTCTTCGTTAGTTGCCCCGCTGCCCTGTGGGCTAGGTCTTAAGACCAAAGGCTCGGGGTGGGGTCCTCTAAGTCAAATCTCTTCCTCGGCCTGGGCAACCGGTAAGACCTCTGCCGACACAACACATTAACATTCTAAACCTTCCAAATCCTTCCCTGACTACCTGCTTTTCCCCCTTTTTGTTGTTGTTAACTATGTGTGGTGGCACTACCAATTGTACATTGGTCAAATGTTGGATAATAATAATAATAATAACAATAATAATAATAGAAGTCGCTTACGAGACACTGCGAACCAGGCCACTGAAGCCGCACTGATGATGTTGGCTAGTCAGGCAACGAAACGTCTGCACAATAATCACTCAGCTCGGAGAACAGCTCAAAATCCGCATAATAATAATATTAGTAATATTAATTATAATACCGGCGGGATGTGCGATATTTCGAGAGGTTGTAATAACAGTGTCTGCGACGGATTCTGCGCATTGGTTGGTGCGACAGAGTTACTGACACGGAAGTGTTGTGCCGAAGTGGAACTGCATACTTTTGCTGAGACACCTGAGGTGGCTCGGTAATGAGTGGCGTATGGATTCGACGCGGATACCGAAGCAGCTATTATATGGTCAACTAATTTAGGGTAAGCTGCATGTGGGGAAACCGAAGCTTCGTTACCGAAACATGATCAAAGTGAGCATATTATGTTTTACTCGTGATAGCAGGTCATGGGAATCAAAAGCGGTTGCTCGGCGTGAATGGTGCGATCTGATCACGAAGGCCATTGCGGAGGTGCAAGAGAAAGCCTTCGTGCATGAATAGAAGAAGCGGCAAGTGCGGAAGCGATAGATGCAGATGGTGTGTACTCCACCGACATCGAGTGCATGGTGCTGTAGCACATGTGGTCTCGAGCGTCTGAAGCAGACAGGCCTAGTAAGCCATAAGCAAGGCCACTCGGGGCCAACACCGAAACGACGAGTCCTGTTGAGAGCGTAGGCAGAACCGACGCAGCGTTTGTAGGTACGCTGGATTTGATTTACTAACCGCGTGCTTGCATGCTGAGTCTTTTTATTTCAGGTGGAAGGTTTGCTTTATTTCCTGATGCTTTTTTATCTCATATTATTCTCATATATATATATATATATATATATATATATATATATATATATATATATATATATATATATATATATATATATATATATATATATATATATATATATATATATATATATATATATATATATATATATATATATATATATATATACTCACCAGGCAACGATGGCTGGGCCAGGTAGTACGCATGCAGCCCACTGGCTCCCGCGACGTGCGTTGTTTGCGCGCCGGGGGTGTGAATGAAGGAAGAGGAGAAACAGCCAAGCGATGACTTGGTCGAGAAGAATGAATGCTCTCACTTCGAAGCTGGCCTCGGTTGCAGCGTCTTGGCTCCCTGATTGGGGTCCGAAAGATGATGAACACGTTTGGCCGGATACACTTGCTGACATGGTTAGGAGCCGGCCTCAATGGCGTACGTGCTGTAAGTTTCTTTTTCCTACCACATCCCTCTTAGCCTCCCCCTCCAACCATGATCTCACTTATTAGCCTAATAGAACCTTGCATAAGAATATTTTTGCTGCATCTTAGCCAGCTGGTAGGTTTCCGGAACGATGCCCATCCGTTAATGGTAGCTCAGCTGGCATGTATCTGTTGCATTTTTTCTTTTATGTATTTCGGCACAGTAGCGGAGGTGTTTTCAACCTCTAGCTAACATGCATAATGATGAAAAGGCGGCAAAAAATAAAACAAAGGAAAGACAAAACATGCTTGTTGTTAGACCACGTTTTATTTCACGGATTTGTAAATAAGTCGTGGTTAGAGCAGGCGGTCAAGCAGAATGGAATGGCAGAAAGAAACATAACACACATCATTGTCATCTGTCATTCACCATGGTAAGAAGCGTATCTGGCCAAACGGTTCGTTGTCTTTAGGACCCCATCGAGGAATTCGAGAGACCCAACCGAGATCAACTTCGAAGTGAGGGCCTTCATTCTCCTATATTAATTCGCTGATTGAACTCATTCTTTCCTTCCATGCAGACCCCAAACACAAAAACAGCGCACGTCGTGAGAGGCAGTGAGCAGGCATGCGTAACGTACGGCGCAGCCACAGGAACCTGGTGCGTGAAATAATTGTGCTAGGCGGTCCACTTTTTCTTTCTACATAAAGGATGCGGTGTACACGCGCATTACTCACACGGTGAGCTAAGATGTGAAGACACCGGTGACCGAACGCAACTATCGTTTTTATGTCCGTTGATCTGATGTGTGTTGAATTTCTTAATCCCGACCCATCCTGCCAAGCCTCCTACCAGCACGATCTCGACGTATATGCATGAGATACAACAAACGCCTTTGTTTTGCACATATTATGTATATTTTTCATTGTATTACTAATACTTAATAGAGCCGTTTTGCCACACAATATTTGGTGTTTCTCACCCATAGCTAAAGTGTAGAGTGAAGAACGATAAAGCTTTAGTTTATGATAGACCGATAGCTAAATTATCCAGCACCGACACGTCCGTCTATCTCGGTTTTAGTATAAAAGGAATAGCATGCGAAGTTGGATTCACAAACCGTATTTGGTAAGCAAAATAATGCCAGCTGTTTCAGAATGCATTCTACTGTTCCAAATGACGAAACGAAGAGGAAGACGACTTACTTGGCGATTGAATGACCTTATTCCTTCTCATCAAAGCCTTAGTAGTGTTACAAGACAAGCGGCTAGGTGTGCGAGTTTATTAACCCCAATCTATAATTAGCTACTGCGGGAAATGGTATTACCGATGAGTAATTGTTTCGTGTCATTACGAGACATTCAGACCTAAACAAGTAGTTGATGCCACCATTAAGGTGGCTGGCCGGAAGTACCGATGTTAGTCGTGTAAAAGTAGACGAATAACGATGGATATGGTATTGGCCGTATTCGTAGTCAGTGACTTCATAATCTAGTGTGTAACTAGTAAAGCAGACTTACAGGTCGAAAACGATGGTTTTCTTGGCTAGTAAATATATCAGGATGAAGATTAATATCGCTGAATACGATGCATAGTAAACTACGTTATCCAGCAAAGCTGAACGCAGTCTTGCCAGAGCAGTAAAATCACCAACAGTGGAGTACGACCGCATTATTGGAATCAAACACCTATAAGCATTAGTAAGTGTAAGGATAACGGACACCCTGCCAGGTAAGAAACTGAGAGCTCCAGTAGACAGTGTGCCAGAGAGCTAGGAAAACTGTGCGCTCCGCGAAGAACATTGGGGCTCTACAAGAGCCATTAACCGTTCCGACGAAAGAATTGGATCCTTTGTGGGTCCTTTGTGCACAATCGCCGAAGTAGGTCTGGAATGCGGTCATGAAGGTGAAACAAGATACGTACCGATGCAACATCAATAGGAAGGAGTGTCAGAATCATCGCTGGGAGCCACCAAGACAGCAAAGCCACCAGTGTGGTCATTTTATTCTGTTTCGCCCAATTTCCATAGTAGTAGCACAGCACACCTGATAGCAGACTGGTTACAATGACATTAATCAACAGCGAGGGAAAAAACATTCACAAGCACTGGAAAACGAAGTGGAACAAATATGTAAGTAGAAGTCCATGTAGAAAAAGAACACTAGGTGCTGCGGTGAATAACGGTTTAAACAATCTAGTGTCACAAAGATCAATATATTGAGGGACTGTGCTCATGCTTTTCCAGGAATCGACTTAGCAAGAGACCGAAAATCGCTGCTGGTGACTAACTGCATCCCAATGCATAAAGTAGAGTGCTGAACCGAGTTAGAGAAAATAAGCCGATAAACTGGAACATGCGACCTGTTTGGTCGATGGAAGCGCAATCACCGTGGAATCAACTGGATGGAACAAGCAGAACACTTTAATGGCTAAGTGAAACAGATATACAATCGAGTCTAAGCAAGCCCATAACGTTTATCCATTGTAAGCACGACCCGGTCGTTAAAGCGAAAATCCGCATGTGTTTCAGGATGGCCTCCAATATTGCACAAAATTAAAGTCTGCTGTGGCTGCGCTCAGGAGTCAGACCAATATCCAATATAACAGTAGCGGTATGCAGACAAACAAACAGTTGTTTAGGGATAAGACCCACTAAAGCGATCAGACGCCATGAACCCATTGTCTGTCTGAAAAGCGAGTGGTAAGATCCGTGTTCGTGAGAAACACACAATTGGTCTGAAAGCTATGCGTGAAAGAAGCCAAGTATTCAATGTCAATACCGGAGAAAGAGTACAGAAAGGCATTAGCAACACGCCAACAGCACCACTATGATCAATACGAAAATAACCACATCAACTATTGAAAGTGATATTTCTCTGCCGTACAATCACATTGGCCTACGGAAGGGAAGATGATAAGAATGATAGAAGAGGACCTAATGCAGAACCTAAATGCCCAAAGCAAACATTTGGCGTCAAGGTGTTTGCCCCTCTCCAACAAAACATACCGTCACAAATAGATGGTTAAAGTGCAAAAATAAGGTAGCGTTGGTGATACAGATTCCTAGCGGCTTTCACTACCCCGCGACACAGCCAGCCATTACTCTGCAGATAATTCAGTACCAGACACACAGTAAACAAGCAATTTGACCAGCAGACGATAGCGAACGCACCACTAGTACCGACTGCGAAGCATATCCTTTAACACCACCACATAAACCAAAGGAAGTCACTTGCACTACAACCTGGAAGGCGACACGGACCAACGGCATCCGATTTGGAAGTAAAGGACCACATTTCCTGCTGTCAAGTTAACATCTGAACATCTCGAGCCTTATGTCACCCTACACCCGGTAAACGAAACAAAAGCTTCATCGATAAGCGGTGGCCGGGGATGCGTAGTACGTGCCTAAGCCAACGCAACCTGTCAAACATCTGCTGTTCTAAAAAGCTAGCATGATTATCATAGTCTAGCAGGCGCCTAGCATAGTATTGTTGCGGATACGCTGTTGCCATCCGACACTAGCAGTGTTCCTCAAGCAGCAGTCTCAAAGCCTTAGGTTGTAGGGGCCAAGCCTAACTACCATAGACGATGAACCTTACTGTAGCCTTGCACACACGTCCTTTCAGATCGATAGGAAACCCCTTACTGAAGCCACATATGTCAAAAGTTTCAAGGCTGTTCTAACATTTGCAAAATGTGAACTAAATTCATCAGCCATGCGCCCATCGCTGCTGATTCAGCTGCAAAGGTAGGAGGATTGATCAACTATCTCCAATACTACGTCATCAAAAGTCAAGGGATTATCAAGTAGTTGATTATCCTTTGCATGTCAAAGGTGCGAAGCGCATGTCAAATGAGGGACCACTCTAGGGAGGCCACGTAATATTGATTGGGCCGCCCTAATATCGTTGAATAGCAAAACAATATCCTCCGCAAAATCAAGATTAGCTAGTTTTTCACCAGACAGCAACTAAAACCATGCATAGTGAGAATCCGCAAGAGAACACTCCATGGTGGAGTTAGCGACCAAGTTGAATAAAGATGGGGAAATTTGGCAACCCTGAAGAACGGCAATTGTTGTGGAAAGGACATCCGACAGGTCAGCGGAGACCGTGGAGCGGCCAGTGGCGTTCGAGTAGAGGGCATGTAAAATATTCACACCTTTCCGCGCAAACAGGATCGATTGAGTCGAATGCAATCGTGAAGTCGAGGAACACAGCTATTGTCGAGTTGCATTAAGTGTTACGCTGTTGTCACCTGCTGCAGTGTGAATATACGGTCTTTACATGCATGGACTAGAAATGAAGCAGATCACTTTGTCACCACCACTGTTAGGCTAATATCCATGGGGTTAGCATGCTCGGTGCGACTGCCCTGCTTGCATATTGCCACTATGATCGGTTCACCCAAGTTAGTTTGAATGGCTCCTTCCTTCCAAACCTGTGGGAACAGGGAGGTCAGGGATATACAATGGGCCTCATCATCATTATGGAGGAACCGATAAAGGAGAATACCCAGTCAGGTTTATCTCTCATATAAAATATCCTGATGCGCCTTAGCGTCGGACGATCGCAAATCGCGAGGTATGCCGAAATGTACGTGTACGTAGAAGCCGATCGTGAATAGAGCAGGCAGCGACACGCACAATCACAACAATCTAGCGGCAACCAAGGGATAACCACGGAAGACAAGCGCGGAACCAAGCGTATGTATATCTAGTTAATTAAAAGAACGATGTACAACAACTGCGGCGAAATAGGTAAGCGAGGAAATGAAACATAAGCAAATTATTTACAGTCGCTACAGTACTCCCCCCTAGAGCGTGCACTAAGGGAACGCTTGACATGTACCTACGGAACGTACTGAGTAAGCTTATGTGGAAGGGAAACAACACGACCAAAACGTGTGTTTGGATCTGCGTGTAGTCGGAGGGCAAGGAGGACTCAGTGTGCTGGCATCAGTGTGTTGTTGGGTAGGGGGTAATGAGTCAGGAGCGGGGGTATGTTGAAAGGAGGAAACGGGATCTGTACTATCGACTGTAGGTTCGACGTAAGCTGGTTTGAGTCGGTCGATGCTCACGGATTATTTTGATCCATTCTTATTCGACACGAAATATTTGGGTTTCCGTGATAAGACCCGGTACGGAGTTAAAGGTCTTCGGACGGCGTCGACGCGAACGAAAACAAACGGACACTTGTGCAAATCGGGGTGGATTTGCTGTTTTCGTAGGTTAGGCCGCTTAGACATTTGTCGAATGAATCGAAAATGCTGTTTGAGGCGTTCAGCGTACGAGAAGGGGTCTAGTTCGCCGGTGGTGCGAGAGTCCAGTATCATCTCACCAGGTAGTCTGAGGGTCGTGCCAAACACGAGTTCTGAGGGCAGCACCCAATGTCCTCTTTGATTGTATTGCGTATGCCAAGAAGGATCGCAGGTAGACGCTCAGACCAGCGTGAGTCAGATGAACTAGCCATAATGGCAGCTTTTAATTGTCAATGAAAGCGCTCGACGAGGCCACTGGTGGATGGAACACCAAAGAGAGAAATCCAAGATTCGACAAAAGCACGGGAAACAGATTCGGTAGATGTATCACGTGAAGGAACAGCTTGTGGCCAACGGGTAAAACGGTCAACACATGTTAGATGAGTGAAACCGTTGGAAGGAGGTAAAGAGCCAACAATATCTACGTGAACGTGTCTAAAACCTGCGTCAGGGAGTGAAAATGTACCTGGGGTAGTGACTGTGTGACGGTGAAATTTACTGGTTTGGCAACTAAGGCAATGTTTAGCCTAATGTCTAAGGTCTGAATGCATATTGTGCCAGAGGAATAGGTCGGTAATGGAATTTACGGTGGAGCGGATACTCGGGTGTGAAAGACCATGAAAATGATCAAAAATGGTTCGACGAAATGATCGTGGGACAAAGAGTCTAGGCTTGCCGGTTGAAAGATCACAGTAAACTCTTATGTCAGAGTTAAGTACGGGCAATTGTGTGAGCTTCAATGAGGGGTTTGATTGAAGTTGGACAAAATCAGGATCATTGTGTTGAGCGGCCGCTATTCTCTCCAGGTCGATGGGTGTCGATGACAGTTGATTCATATGAGCGCTGGATAATGCATCGGCAACAGCGTTGTTAGGACCGTCGATATAACGAACATCAATACAAAACTGCGAAAGATAGTCCAGATGACGCGTTTCTCGGGGTGAGTAACGGTCTGAGGCAGAACGGAAAGCGTACACCAGTGGCTTGTGATCTGTTAAGAGTATGAAACGACGTCCTAAAAGGTGACGGAAATGTTTCACAGCCAAGTACATGGCGAGCAGTTCACGACCAAAGGTGCTGTACCTGACCTGAGCAGGTTGTAACTTCCGTGAGAAAAAGGACAGTGGTTGAAATTCGTTATCAACTAACTGTTGCAAAACTGCGCCGACAGCGGAACTTGAAGCATCCGTCTAAAAGACAAGTGTAACGTCTTCAGTGGTGTTCAAGTGATGGAGAGAGGTGATTTCACCAAACTTCTGCTTGACGGCCGTGAAAGCGGCTTCAACTTCTGGGGTTATCGTTAACGTCTTTGAATTTCCTTTCAGTAAGTCGGTAAGCGGATGAAGTACACCAGCACAGTTGGGTATGAATTTGCCGTGCTAGTTGATCATACCGAGAAATCGGCGTAGGCTTCGGACAGATTGAGGCATCGGATAGTCGAGGATCGCTTGGGATTTATCCGGGAGGGGTTTACTACCTTCACCCTTGATCTTGCGACGGAGAACTTCGACGGTGGGCTGACCAAATTTGCATTTGTCCGGATTGATGGTTATACCGTGGATTTCAAAGCGTTCGAAAACCATTCGGAAGTGCGATAAATGCTCGTCGGGTGTGGCGCTTGCGATCAAAACATCGTCAATGTAAACGTAGACGAAATCAAGGCCACGGAGGACCTGATCCATAAAACGTTGGAAAGACTGTGCTGCGTTCCGGAGGCCGAAAGGCATACGAAGAAATTCGTAAAGGCCAAATGGAGTGATCACAGCGGCTTTTTCGATGTCTTCCTCCGCCACTGGAATCTGGTGGTAGGCTCTGACTAGGTCGAGTTTGGTAAAGATCGACTT